CTATAAATGTAGGCTCATAGATCTATTTCCCCATCCTCATATAATATATTTGTATATGTGCATGTCTTTATCTAGAGCTCTATAATATTTTTTTACTGTAAAAGAGTCCTTACATTTAGAGATATCCACACCTAACATGATACTGTACCTTGGATTTGCTTTAACATAATCTAAGGTAGGGAGCTACAGAGGGACCATAAGTGAGACAAGATTGGCCACACAGTGAATTTTGTTGAAGGTGAATGAAAGCCACATGGGAGTTCATGATATTTTTTTTCTCTACTTTTTTATAGGCTTGAAAATTTACATTTAAAACTAGTACAAAATACTTCTGGTCAATACAGAAGAATGAAGTCAGGTTAATGCATTTTCTTCCACCAATACCTAATAAAATAAAAACTACCAAAGCCAATGTGACAGACAGCTTACAAGATACCCCTCATCCTCACTTCTTGGTTTTCATACTCCTGTGCAGTCATTTGCCTCCCCCTTTGAACAGCGTTGGTCTGCGTGAACGAGCTCCCACGGCAGCAGGGATATATCACTTCTGAGGCTCGGTTCTAGAAGTTACTGCAGCTTCCATTCTGGCCACGCTGTCACATTGGGGCCTCAAACAACAGCAATGTGTTCTCACAGTTCCGGAGGCTAGAAGTCAGCGCTCAGAATGTTGACAGGGCTCTGAAGATCCTCTGCTGTCTCTACTGGGAGAGCCCCTGGTCTGATGGCAGCGTCACTCCAACCTCGAAGTCCCTCATGACCAGGTGTTCTTCTCTGTGTGGCTTTTCAGTGTCATTTGTGTTTTCACTTTTTCATAAGGACACCACTTACATGGGATTAGAGCCACGCCCACCCCAATAAGACCTCATGTTCGCTTGTCGTCTGCAAGGACCCTGCTCCCAAATAACTTCAACATCAGGCTAGGACCTAGGTTCCGAAATATATTTGGCCAGTTGCCCCCTTTTAAGAAAAACAAACAAACAGAAAAACAATTACTCAGCATGTCCCCTTGGCAATGAAAAACGTTTGAATTATGTCCCACAATCCAGGATAGAATATAGGTGTCTGCTTCTGCAGCTGCCCGCCGGCATCATTGCAGCGCTACCCGGGGCTGAAACTGCCTACTTTGGAAAACACGGGGTCAGGACTTCAACATATATTTGGGGGGATATAATGCAATCTGTCATAATATCCACATTAGAAATAGATACATTATACAAAGGTCAAGCATAGACATGCCCATCAGGGCTTTTTTTTTTTAAAAGAGCCTATTATCATCTTAAACAGGACCAGGGCAAGACAAAGACAACCACATTATCCAGATTGGGGAGGGGGGCAGGACCACTGGGGGTCAAAATGGTGTCCTGGAGACTTTCCAAACTCTTGTTTCCTTATAAAAAGGGGAAACTACAGGTGCACTCAGACACTGCCCTACCTGCCCAGGGAAGGATGGATGTGTACGCTGAGGGTCAGGGAAAGATGTCAGTTCCATTTGTGCTTCCTCCCTGATAACAGAAGCACCAAAATACAAGACACCGTGGGAAAGACGCTATTGTAAGAACAACAGAGCAGCCAGAGCGAGGAGAGGCTCCGCACCTCCACGGCCAGCATGACATAGGCGATGGCGAGCTGGGTGTGGGCCCAGGTGAGAGTTCTGTAAAGCAGCCTCATGGGCCGGGACCTGATCCACAGATCGGCAAAGGTGTGAATCAGGTAGTCAGCTTTCACCATCACGGCCCAGCAGAAGAAACCAAACACCTGCCCTGGGTGGAGGCCATGCCACCAGGCGGAGAAGGCAAATGTCTGTGCCAGGGGCCAGGCCCGGCCGCGCTGGAATATGAGCCGACGGAGCCAGCGAGCCGTGCTGTGGTTCCACTGTCTGGTGAACAGGGATATCCTGTGAGTTGTCTCCAGGGTCCATATGTCTGCATCGGGGACGGGGTCCTCACCATCGCTCCAACCCAACTCCAACCCAAAGCCTGCTGCATGGAGGAGGGAGTCATCCAGGGCCCAGTGGGAGTAGTAGGTGAGTTTGAAGAGGCCGGCTGTGGACCACATGACATAGATGCACCCCAGTTGCTGGCAATCCCTCACGCCCGCTCCTGCACTGACCGCCCCCTGCAGGGCTGTTTTCAGGCACTCTAGTCCCAGAATCTGCAGACCCCGCCAGGCCAGAGTCCAGAAACACTGTCTTGGGCACATAGGCCTGGACCTTTGAACTCGAGCATGAAATCTCTTGAAGGAACAAAGAGGGCCTCCCAGGAGGGCAGGGAAAAAGAGCAAGTAGCTGAAATAGGGCAGTGACTGGCGCAGGTGCTCAGACAAAGAGCTCTGGGTCCTGCTGCTTCTTGAAGCTGCTTCGACTTTCCCTTCACAAACATCCAGAGAGAGGGACGTGACCCTCTGCGTCAAGAGCATGAGCGCAGAGAGCATGATGCAGAACCTGAAAGAGAGGGTTTCATGATGAACAGCACTCCATGTTCAAAATGAGGTTTACAGACATTTCTTATCCACCACTCTCTACAGACACACGTCAAACTGACACATGGACAAAGCCACACCTTTTCTTTTAAAACATCTGCTTTAGAAACAACATAATTATGCACTACTAACTTATAAAGGAGACTATGTGATGCTATATACTTATATAAAATGTATAATATTTAATATTATATGACATTTGAAATATTGGGTTCGATGTCTCTTGGGTCGGTCAGCATGACAACCTCCGTTGCATTGCCTGTCTTTATATTTGATGTTTGTCTTTCTCACGAACTTGCTAACTATGTTTATATATTACTGAAGTAATCCTTTCATGAATGAAACGGATTTACTGGGGTTTATGTCAAACTGATGTGTATCTATAGAGATAGGTATACCACACAGAGAATTTCAAGATGAGAAGGCTTAGAAGAAAATTACTTTGGATACATATTTGTCTTGTTCAATGGATAAAAGTCAGCATCAATGGTAGGAGGTAAATGGCAATGGTGTCTGGAATTTTTGTTGAAGAAATAGAAATGTGTCACAATGATGTGCCCCAGGAAGCTAGTGTTAATTTATCCCTCCCGTTCCCTCCCTCATGACCCCACAGTCAGGGTGGCTCTGAACGTCAGGCTCCGTCCCACATGGTACCTGCAGTGTTCCCCAAAGCCCCCCGGGATCAGCTCAGAACCACAGACTGAGGGTGGGCCTGATCCAAGCCATGGTCTTTTCAATCGTCTCGGACGCTTGTGAAAGCTGGACATGGAATAAGGAAGACTGACGAAGAAGCAATGGATGTGAACGATGGTGCCCGCGAAGAATGTCGAAAGTGCTGTGGCCAGCCAGAAGGACAGACCAAACTCCAGTCCCTGGAGGGGCAGCAGAAAGAGGCAGGCCCTCGAGGAGATGGATTGGCACGGTGGCTGCAACACTGGGCTCACGTGTAAGAACATGTGAGGACGGCGCAAGGCTGGGCAGTGTTGCCTTCTGTGGCACACGGGGTCGTCATGGCGGAGAATGGCAAGGAGGCCTGGAGGGGAAACTGATGACAATATTTCTAAGAACAACTTGACAAAGATTAGATTCAGGGACTGGAAAACAGCCTGGAAGAACTCTGTCAGTGAAGAATCAAAAAACACACGGGGGGCGAACATTGCAGGAAGCAGAGGATTTAAATAGAAGCCGAGCCCTGCCGTGAATGGTGAATCCACAAGCTCGAGGCATGGAGATGTGTGGCTGAGTCAGCAGCAATCGGACGTGTGTTCTGAACCAGTCCCCTGAATTACCGTGCAGGGACGGAACTGCTGGCAGGACTGCTGAGGAGAACAATTAGTGAACATGATTGTGACACACACCGCAATCCCGAGTGCTGTCCTGCGGAGAGAAAACAGCTGTTTCCCAACCACGGCTGTCCCTGCGTGTCTGAGCATCAAGGACAATGGCTCAAACCTGAAAGCCTTGGAATGAGTCAGAATTGACTCCGTGACTTGATTTTTTTGGTATGGATCTCTCCTCACAAAGGAACCCAGCCAGTGCAGTGGGTTACACATTGGCTGCTAGCTGCAAGGCTCGAGGTTCAAACCCACCAGCCACTCCTTGGAAGAAAGATGAGGCTGTCTGCTCCTGTAAAGATTTAGAGTCTTGGAAACCCTCAGGAGCCATTCTACGCTGTCCAATGGGTCGCTATAAGTGGACTCGGTGAGAGTGAGGTGGGATCCCCTCACTTGACTTATTCTTATAACTAAAAGCAACATACACACACACAATGTTCCTGAGTTGATTCTGACTCCTGGTCACCCCGTGGGTGTCCAGGGACTGATTTTCAGAAGTAGATTGCCAGACCTTTCTTTAAAGGTGTCTGAGGGTAGACTTGAACCAACAACCTTTCGGCTCATAGCTGAGCATTTGCACCTCCCAGGAACTAAAAAAACAAACACAGTAACAACACCGACAACAAAAATTAGAAAGCAAAGTGGCCTCCAAATGCCACCCATCCTGCTGACTTGCCTGCCTGGCTGCATTCTGGCTCATCCTCCCTCCCAGTCCGGATCCCGTAGGACTCGCTCTTCCAGCCCCCAGTCAGGTCACGCTTCCTACTTACTGCAATCCACCACATTCACTCGGGACTTCCCACTCTCCCCTCCCGCCAGCTGGGCTCGTCTTCAAAGAAGCAAGCTCTGGAGTCTTTGGTGAAAGTCGTCAAACATTTTTTTAAAAGGATTCTCCGTGTGGTAGGAGGCAAAGTGAGTGAACCCGTGGCAGGCTCTATAGTCACATCACTAACCCACCCAGAGAACTTGTAGTCTCCATTCTCTAGTAAGCAAGGGTCCATGCCAGTTGGGATAACGAGAGGCAGCCAGGTACATCCAGCCTAACATTCTCCAGGTACATTAGGCACGCTTCCCCCTAAACTTAGCAATCTCACTGACTTGGGAAAACACATCTATGGACCCTAATTAGCTCCTGATCCCCTCCCACCCCTCCCCTCCACAATTAGACTCGGTGCCTGCCCTTCTTTATGGGGACGTGGGGAGCAGCTGAATCTAGATGGAAGGCAAACCCTTGCACAAGCAGCTGGCTCACTCTTGGCAGTTGGCAGTGAGGGTTAACAATCATTTGCACCTTCCCTGTCCTGCCAGCCAGCAAGGCTGCTGGCTCTGTGTCTAAACCAGCCACTGTCAGACCAGCCCACTGCATCTGAGCGCTCCAGGACTCCTGATTCACCTGCCTGCGCTCCCCAGTTTCCTCAGGGTCGGTGCTCATCAGAGCTCAGGAGTGCTCCTAGGCAGCACATTGTGGCTATTCGTAGTCATTTAATTATATTTACATCTGTTTCACCCAACGCAACTATTTTGTAAGATAGGTATTGTTAGCCTCCCCTCCCATGTTTTGTTTTGTTTTTTTTAGAAAAAGAAATTGAGGCTGAGAGAGGTTAAACGACTTCTTCAAAGCTCACACCTTTCAAAGGTGGAAGAATGAGGATTTCAACGCAATGGCCAAGCTTTCTTCAAGAACACCATGGTGCACGCCAGCCCTTATCGGCTCGGTGCATCCCAGGGTGCTCCCTAATGGGTAGGGTACTTTACCTTGGGGAAGGAGGCTCTTGAAGATAATACTCCGTGTAGTGTAGACCTAGGTGACACAGTGTCTGCCAACTCATCTGAAAGCAGAAAGTCTGCCGGTGAACTTCCTTTGGGTCGAGGGAGTGGATCAGAACCACAGCGCAGAGAGCAGGGATGAAGACAAGCACTGCGCAGGGACCCATGGCAGCCAAGGCCAAAAGGTGCCCTCCAGTCAAGAGAAAGAGGTACCTGAAAGAAAAGGGAAATTGGGTTACAGACTGCATTCTGTCCCCTAGAAGGCTATGTTGAAATTCTAACCCCTACTACCTATGAACCTGACCTTGCTTGGAAACAATATTAACTATTGGATTAAGAGGGGTCCTAATCCAATTTTAGTGGTGTCCTTGCTAAAGAGAAGACACAGAGACATACGCAAAGGAACTATAGGCACATGAAGATGTATACACAAGCCAAGGGACCCCTGGAGCTACCAGGGAGTGGGAGAGACCAGAAAGGCTCTTCTTCCCATAGAAGCTTTGGAAACACCAAGGTCCAGGCCACAAACAACCTAGACTCCCAGCCTCCAGACTTGGAGGCAACACAACCCTGTTTTTATAGAACCCCCAGGTTGTGGCATGGTGTTATAGCAGCCTTTTGGTTGTAGGTTTTGAATCTCAAGCTGAGATACATTTCATCTAAAAGGATTGCTTCTCTTTCATTTCTCTGAGAGAACATTCAAAGGCATCTTAGACATTCCACATAGTTATAGATTTAATAAAATCTAACTTTATTGAAATGCTAAGCTGCAAGACATTAAGGCTGTCCAGAACATCTGGGACACGTGGCTGGCATAGATGTATCCATGGGGTAAGGGGGAAGGCGGTGGGCAGTGCTGCACCATCTCTACATCTGGAGGACACCTCCTGGCCCCAGCTGCCACGGGCCCCTGCACTGTGCATGTCTTCATCCCATGGTTCTGATCCCCTCTCTCAGCCCAAAGGAAGTCTCCTCTCACATTCTCTTCTTTTGGATGAACTTGCAGACAGTCTTTACTCATTTAACATGTGCCTTTAAACATTATAATTCAAGGCAGACATGGTATCAATTCCCATTCAATTTTACTGTCTTGTGCATATTTATTCAAGCAATCCATAATCAGTGGCAATGATAGGATGCTAAAAATAACAAGTATGTGTAACATTTTTACTCTTCATATTTGAAGTCTCATCCATGCTTTTTGCCCTACTAAATTATTCCCAAGTAGAAGCACAAAGCAAACCTTTAGCCTACCTGGCGTGAGTAGAAAATGAGTCCATGGAGCACAGATAGTTAAACAGAAGTGCAAAGGGGAAAGCAGCCCCTTGATAAAGTGTCAGAGGGTGGAGCTGATGCCAAGCCATTCTGAACTGCAACAAAAGAGACTGTCCTTTCCAGTGCCTTCCTGCATGAGAAATCCCAACCACAGTCTCTGGGACCTTTTTATAGGGTTTCGAGAAGCCTGAGTGAGCAGAGGACAAACCAAGTACAACTGATAAGCAGCATAAACACTTTCTGATAAAAAGAACTGCTCCATAGAAACCAAAACGCACTTGGATGTTATATTATTTCATAACAGCGTGTACTAAAACCATTGCGTTCAGAAGCTGTGGTTTGTATTCCCCATTGTTTGCCTTTCCAGTCATAAGACTGTCATATATTCTTCACTAGGTTACTGAAAAGTCCCACCTCCCTACTGTGGACCAACAAATCCATAGATGTGGGAGGCACAGCAAGAACAGGAGCATGACAAAAGGAGGTGAATTCTCAGAGTCCGAGGAAAAAACACGATTCCATCTTCCAATCCTCACTGCCTCTGTAGACCGCTCTTTTGGCTTTTCATAGTACCTACTGTCAACCCTTGGAGATCTGGTGGCATAGTGGTTATACATGGGCTGCTAACCACAAGGTCGGCAGTTTGAAACCACCAGCAGCAATGAGGGAGAAAGATGAGCTTTTCTACTCCTGTAAAGCTTTACTGGCTCAGAAACACATAGGGGCAGTTCTACCCTGTCCTACAGGGTCACTATCAGTTGACATTGACTTGATGGCAGTGAGTTTGTTTTTTTATTACTAACTCTTACATGTCTCGATTAGTTTATTGCCCATTTTCTTACTATAATGTGAGTGCTACAAGAGGGACATTGTTTTATTACTATGTCCCTGGCACACAGAACAATGCTCGGCACAAACTACGTACTCAGAAAACATTTGCTAAAGAATACTTTGTGGATGTAACAGAAAAGTTCTTCCTTTGCAATATGGGCAAGGACTACCAAGGAGACTGCCTAGACGCAAGACAAGAACCGGCTACCTCATGGCCAGCAGGGCTCCAGCTACCAAGGCCAGGACATTCCAGGGCTGTTCCTGACCAGCTGGTTTTCATCACCAGAGGCAGCCTTTTTGGAAAAAATGATGGGAGGGTATATACAGTGAACCCTCGTTTATCGCGGTTAATTGGTTCTAGACCCTACCGTGATAAATGAAATTCCGTGAAGTAGGATTCCTTATTTGTAAATCAAATATTTTCGTCGTTAGAGCATAGAGGACATGAAAAAACACCCTTTAGTCACCATTACACTCGTATTACCCA